CAGGATGGAAGGGCTGAGGACCAGCATGAGGCGGGGGTTTATTGTCTCCCTGCCTCTCAGAAGCACCCTGTTCCCTCCTCCCCAGGCCTGTGACTCCGGCCCTGGAAGCCCCTTTGTTCTTCTGTTGAAAGGCCTTGTCTTCCCTCTGTAAAGCTGCTCCCGTCACTGCCTGCTGGGGTCCTGCCTCGGCCCAGCCCAGAATGGGGAGAGGAGGACATTTGGGCTCACCTGTCAAGGTGGCCTTGGGACCAGAGCTGGATTGGGAGCCTGTCCTGCATTAGCTCTGGTCCCAGCATGGGGTAGGGTACGCTTAGTAGTCTCTATAAGCCAAGCTGCCCTAGGACCTTCACCAGTGGCCTCTAGAATGGTCCAGAGGGGCTGGCTGGTCCCTTTGTCAGACTTCTGCCGGCAACTGCCCTGGGGGACGTGTGTGCCCATCTGGCGTCCTCCAGCCCATGCAGTCCTCTCTTCACTGTCCCACAACCTCCCAGTGCCTTCCAGCATTGGACCCATCTACCCCTGCAGTTTGGGGCCAGAGAGGTGAGTGGACCTGGCAAGTGCCAGAGTGACTGTGTAGACAAAGCAGTGTAGACAGCACTCAGCCCCAGCCCCAGGGGTGGACGTCACACTGGTGATGGCTCCCCTGGGTGGCCTGCCAGCACAGCCAGTGCCATCAGGGAACTGAAGGGGCTATCCACTGCCTAACTCCAGCTCCCCCTTTCTTCACGTCACCAAGGCCCTGTGCCGCCCGCCTCGCCCCTCTGCTCTGTGGATTCCTTTGGGAAGGGTTCCCGGGGCAGGACAATAAAGACTTTTGACTCCAGTTGGTGCCCTGTCATTGTTTTCTCCCTCTCTGGGGCCCCCTCGCCCCTCAGCTCATAGCGTCTTGGTATTCTTGGGACCCTCTTACCCTTGACAAGGGTCTGGTTGCCAGCACCATGGTTGAGTCTGTGTCCAATGCTTGGAGCCATCAGCATCCCTCAGGTGTATCCCGCCCCTGCAGTTTGGGAATTCCCTGCCATTCTACATTCCCCAGTCCAAAGCTTTCCTCTTGAGGCAGGTGAGCATTGAAACCCCTTCCATTGTCCCTGTTGGGAAGGACTTGGAGGATTGGGGTTAGGGCTGAGTAGGGCCTCCAGTGCTGTCCCCACCGCCCCCAGGGGTGCAGAGTTGGTGATGAGCCAAGAGCACTGCCAGCCTTTGGTCCCTGTATCCATCCAGCCCTCGCCTACCTCTGATCCTTTGCTCTCCACCGTCCCTCTGATGGCGGCCCTGCCTAACCAAGGCCCAGCTTAAAAGCTGCTTCCTCCCTGAAGCCTTTCCCAATCCTGTCCATGCATCACTTAACTTGAACTAGCCAAGGATTTGGTCTCGAAGGTGACCTTGAGGACATGCTCTAGCAGCTGACCATGGAGTCCCTGGTCAGGCATCTGCCAGCTCACCCCAGACCCTGCGGTGCTGTGGTCTCCAAGCCTGGGACTTCTCCAGGGCAAGGCAGAGGTGCCCTCTCCCCACTTCAGAGCAATTCCATTTACTTTTCTTTTTTCTCCTTTTTCTTTCTTTATTTTTTGGGAGACAGAATCTCACTCCGTTGCCCAAGCTGGAGTGCAATGGTGCGTTCTCAGCTCACTGCAACGCCTGCCTCCTGAGTTCAAGTAATTCTCATGCCTCAGCTTCCCAAATAGCTGGGATTACAGGTGCCTGCCATACAAATATTAATTTGTATTTTTAGGAGAGGCAGGGTTTTACCATGTTGGCCAGGCTGATCTCAAACTCCTCAGGTGACCCGCCTGCCTCAGCCTCCCAAAGTGCTGAGATTACAGGCAGAAGCCATTATTTTCAGTAGAAATGGGGTTTCACCATGTTGGCCAGGCTGGTCTCGAACTCCTGACCTCGTGATCTGCCTGCTTCGGCCTCTCAAAGTGCTGGAATTACAGGTGTGAGTTACCGTGCCCGGCCTAAGTCCTTGTCTCTCAAAAAAAAAAAAAAAAAAAAAAAAAGGTCACCAACAGCGAGTGCTTACTCTGTGTTAGGCCTTGTGATGAAATATCGTCTTAGCCTCACAACAGCCCCACAAGGTAGATGCCACCATCCCATTTTACAGATGAAGAAGTAAGCAGAGAAATGATTTGCTCCAGGTCACAGAGGTAGGAAAAGTGGAACCATGGTTCAAACCCAGCAGCTGGGCTCCAGCGCCCCCACTCAGAGCCACCCTGTGCGATGGCCTCACTGGAGCACAGGAGTGGAAATGAAAGGTGCTATGATGCGAAAGGAGAACGGCGGCGGAGGTGCAAAGCTCTCCTCGCGGTAGCAGGCCTGTGAGATGGCTATTGTCCCCGCTTCATAAAGGAAGAGAGTGAGGCTTACAGGGATTGTCATTGATCCCAGGCCACAAGGGAACCATGCGGCAGAGCCAGATTTTAACCCAGATCTGCTGGCCTCTAGGACCCTGCCTCTTAACGTCCCTCTTAACAGAGGGACGTTGCCTAGAGACTGGCTGCAGTGCAGGGGCACTGAACTCTGGAGGAGGCTGAGCGAGTCCTAGAGCTGGGGAAAAGTATTCCCACAGGGAGCACAGAAGGCCCAGGGGTGCTGAAGGACAGGAAATAGTCCGTAGCTAAGGCTCTACGGGTATAGGTGATGAAGGGGAGAAAGCCAGAGTAAGGGCAGCAATCCTGAGGGTCAGGCTGAGGGCCAGGCTGTCCTGGAAAGTGGTGAGGCTTCCATCTCAGGACGTGTCTAAATGGGACTGGACTGGTTTGGAAATGTGTGAATGGCCCGAGGGATGGCCTGGCTGTCTGCTGGCACCTTCCAAACCAGAGGATGACAAAAGTATGTTCGAAAGCTGTGCAACAAAGGGCCAGAGGGGCCTTGTGTGGCCACAAGGAGGCAGGAGAAGAGGAGGCTTCCAGAAGAGGCTGAGCGGGGACTGAGACCTGGGCAGGGGGAGGACAGTGGAGACAGATGGGAGGGCACCTGGAGTGAAGTGTGGACAGCACCCGGAGGTGGCAGGAAGCAGCAGGAGGCCAGGGGCCAGGATGATGGGGGCTGGTTAGAGGTGGAAACTTGGAAATAGGTTTCAAGTGGGGAAGAGGCCAGATGAATGCAGGTTGAAACACAGCAGGAGAGATGGCTGGAAGTATCAGTGTCAGGGAGTCACAGCTACAGGAAGGACAGGAGAACAGAGAAAGGAAGGGAAATTTAGAAACCCGAAGACCAGATAATGAAGTTTCATGCCTTCCAGGAGGGAGGGCTGCTGAGAGGTGAGAAGAGGGCAGAGAAACATCATTGCAGGTGCCAGGACCAGGATGGCAGGAAGGGGTGAGGATGCTGTTGGCCACTCTCCTTCCATTTTGAGGGCCTTGATGGAGGGGCAGCATCACGGTAACGGTCCCACAGCAGCTGCTCAATGGGTATTGCATGTGTGGGTGCATAAATGCATTAATCAAGAGTCTACTGGGGACTGGGCAAGGTGGCTCACGCCTGTGATCCCAGCACTTCGGGAGGCTGAGGCAGGTGGATCACCTGAGGCCAGGAGTTCAAGACCAGCCTGGCAACATGGTAAAACCCCATCTCTACTCAAAATACAAAAATTAGCCGGGCATGGTGGTGGGCACCTGTAGTTCCAGCTACTCAGGAGGCTGAGGCATGAGAATCACTTGAACCCAGGAGGTGGAGGCTGCAGTGAGCCAACAACGTGCCACTGCACTCTAGTGTGAGCAATAGAGCGAGACTCCATCTCAAAACAAACAAACAAATAAAGTCTTCAAGGATCTCACTGAATTTTAGTGAAAATCCTCTGAGGAGGGATTATTACCCCCATTTAACAGATGAGAAAAATAAGATTAACTTGCAAAAAATAAGTAGGGAAGCCTCAACTGTGGGCTGAGATGGAGGAGGGGCCCTCTGTCTCTCAGGGGTGGTGGGAGCCAGTTCTGATGACGGGGAGGAAGAGTGGATTTTTTGTTTGCTTTTCTGAGACGGAGTCTCACTGTGTTGCCCAGGCTGGAGGGCAGTGGCAAGATCTCAGCTCACTACAACCGCCGCCTCCTGGGTTCCAGCGATTCTCCTGCCTCAGCCTCCCGAGTAGCTGGGACTGCAAGCACTCGCCACCATGCCCAGTTAATTTTTGTATTTTGAGTAGAGATGGGGTTTCACCATGTTGGCCAGACTGGTCTCAAACTCTTGTCCTAGAGTGATCCGCCCACCTCGACCTCCCAAAGTACTGGGATTACAAGCATGAGTAACCGTGCCCAGACCGGTTTTGTTTATAAACCACCCCTTGCCCTACCTCTCCCAGGGGTCTATGAGGAGCCCTCTAATCTTTAATCCATGGCCCTAGGTTCAGGGGAGGGGGTCGGGCCAGGGCAGGCCATGGAAAGTGAAGTGGACTTGGGGGGAGTCAGAAAGCTTCGGTGTGGCCTCTTGTGCCCAAGACAACCCAGGAGGTTCAGGGTCCTGAAGCCAATGTAATCTAGGGCCTAAACCTTCTAATCTCAGGCAGAAGCTGGGTGTAGAATGGGGTGCTCAGAGGGGCTCAGGGGTGTTCAGGGTGCCAGTGTGGGACCCTCACCTTGGCACTGGAAGATTTCAGGCCTCCTCAAATAGATGGGGCCCAGGACAGCAGAGGGGACAGAGAGGGCTGCTCTGCTGTGGCCAGCATGTCCCAGAGGTGCATGTGGATACAGAGGGCAGCAGCTGCTGAAATGGCCATGGGCATTGGACTATGCTGGAGTGGGGATACCTCACCCCGACTCTGCCAGCTCACACCGGGCACTTTCATTTCCCTTACAACAGGCCCCTTGCACACTGCTACCCACAGTTTGCATCAGAAGAAATGGAAGAGACCTGCTTAAGGTCGCACACCCAGTGGCAGAGCAGGGACTCTGCGCAGGGTGGTCTAACTGGGGAGCTGGGGCCAAGCCCAGCCTCTCCAGTCAGCTGCGGGGGCGCACCCCGGGGCGCTGGGAGTCCAGGCCCGGTTTTGCATCAGGCCCTGCCGAGGTGTTTCCTCCTCCTCAGTGTGGGGCAGCTGCTGGCTGGGCTGCCTGTTGAGTCAGCCTTCTTCCCTCACGGCTCTTCTCCCAGTCCCTGAAACTCGGCTGCCAGGGGAGCTGGAGTCACCTGCGAAGGTGTCTTCCCATACTGGACCCCTACAGGTAACACATGTCGGTGCCAGGGTCCCCTGCCAGGGTCCAGAGACGCAGGCACTGCCACCTGGTATCCTGAGCACCCTCCAGCACCTTGGGGTTGGGGGAGGTGGGCGCATGTCTGGAACTGGAACAGCCGGACAGATGGACAGACCCTCCTCTTCATCAATGGGTCTGTCCCACAGTGTCAAAACAGCAGGGAAGACCAAACACTTGATTCTGCCTCTGGTAGGAGAGGGGACTTCAGGGAGGGGAACTGCTGAGGAGGCTGGGCTGATGCCCATGGCCCAGCTCAGGCAGGCCCGCAGGACAGAAATAGGCTCAGCTCTGCCAAGTGTCCTCTCCCACCTCCATCCACACGCAGACACACATACCTGGCGGCCCCCAAGGCACCAGGGGACACCCCACAGCACACAGCCCAGGCACACGTACGGCACAGGAGGAAACGCACAAGGCATACTGCACACACCCCACATGGCGCTGTCACCTAGAACGTCACTGAACACACCGCACAGACAATATCGTCAGCATGCAGCATCACACTGCAGCAGGACACAAAGACACACTCACACAGCAACCACACAGCTCACAGACCCACGCCACGCAGACATGCCCACCAGACTCGGACCAGGGCACAGAGAGGGACATGGGTTCACACCCCAACCCACGGGGGAGCCCGAACTGTGCGTTTGCAAGACCCACACCTTGGCCATAGAAGTTCAGGGAAACTGCTGTTGTGGAGCACACAGGTATCCACAGAGCGAATGCACACCGTGCAGCCACGCCGAGGCCTTCAGCTCCTGAGGGTGTCAGGAGGGATCGCTGGGACTCGGCCACTGACTCAGCTGGGAGGGGACAGAACATAGCAGGCGGTGGACACAAGCCAGGACCTGCCTGCCAAGCTGCCTCCACTGGTCCCGGCCCCACCTGGAGCCCTGGCATGGAAGGGGCGGGGAAGAGAGGAGAGGCCGCCCAGTGGGCTCAGGACACAGCCCTGACCAAGTCATGGGCCCCTTGCCACGTCTACATGCCCCTCAGCGCTGGGCAAATGTTTTCTTTCCGGAGTCACTGTGGTACCTGAGCATGGGCTGCTGTGCCAGCTTAGGCCTCCACTGCCGGGACCCCACCCTGATCTTGGGAGAACCGTGTGGCCAGAGCAGAGGGGCCCGGTGGCTCCAGGCAAGAGGGCAGGGCTGGCGGCGGGGGCATCCCTGGGTTGGAGGCCTCGGTGGGAGTGTGTGCAGCAGTTACCTCAGAGGAGGAAGTTGGGGGTGTGGGCTGAGGAGGAGGTTGCCTCAGACAGGAAGGCCAAGTGGGCCAGGGCAGGGTGGAGGTGAAGGGTGGCGGGAAGGGACCCAGGCTGTGAGGTTCCTGGCCCAGGGGAGTGAGCATGTGTGTGTGTGTGTGCATGTGTGTGTGTGCGCGCACGTGTGTGTGTGTATGCGTGTGTGTGTCTGTCTAGGTGGGTGGTTGTATGTGTGCATTCCCATGTATGTGCAGGTATATTTCTGCATGTAATTAATCAAAATTTTACCAACCATCTGTTGTGTGCAAAGTACTGGCTTTGAGGGTCACTCCCTCTCCCTGCCTCCAAGGAGCTCACAGCTCAGATAGCTGGACAATGTGTGTGTGCCAGAGTCTGTGTGATTTTTATGTACATCTTTATTGAGGGACACATTTGTTCCCAGACTTGTTCTTGTCTAGGTGATCCATCCGGGTGGGCCCATCCCTGTTGGTGTGCATGTGCTGTGTGCAGGTTTTTTTGCTTGTTTTTGTTTTGAGACAGAGTCTCACTCTGTTGCCCAGGCTGGAGTGCAGTGGCGCCATCGCAGCTCACTGCAACCTCCACCTCTTGGGTTCAAGAGATTCTCCTGCCCCAGCTTCCCAAGTAGCTGGAATTACAGGCATGTGCCACCAAACCCAGCTAATTTTTCTTTTCTTTTTTCTTTTTTTTTTTTTTTTTTGAAGACGGAGTTTCGCTCTTTTTGCCCAGGCTAGAGTGCAATGGTGTGATCTTGGCTCACCGTAACCTCTGCCTCCCAGGTTCAAGCAATTCTCCCACCTCAGCTTCCCGAGTAGCTGGGATTACAGGTATGCACCACCACGCCCAGCTAATTTTATATTTTTAGTAGAGATGGGGTTTGTCCATGTTGGTCAGGCTGATCTCAAACTCCTGACCTCAGGTGATCCGCCCGCCTCGGCCTCCCAAAGTGCTGGGATTACAGGGGTGAACCACTGTACCCGGCCATAATTTTTGTATTTTTAGTAGAGATGGGGTTTCACCATGTTGGTCAGGCTGGTCTCAAACTCCTGACCTCAAGTGATCGGCCCACCTTGGCCTCCCAAAGTGTTGGGATTACAGGTGTGAGCTACCACGCCTGGCCACTGTGTGCAGATTTAAGAACATGTGTAGGGCTGGGCGTGGTGGCTCACACCTGTAATCCCAGCACCTTGGGAGGCCGAGGCGGGCGGATCACGAGATCAGGAGTTCCAGGCCAGCCTGGTCAACATGGTCAAACCCCGTCTCTACTAAAAATACAAAAATTAGCTGGGCATGATGGTGTGTGCCTATAATCCCAGCTACTCAGGAGGCTGAGGCAGAATTGTTTGAACCCGTCGGGCGGAGGTTGCAGTGAGATGAGATCGCGCCACTGTACTCCAGCCTGGGCAAAAGAGCAAAGCTCCTTCTCAAAAAAAAAAAAAAAAAAAAGAATGTGTGTGCATGTCTCTCGTGGGCACAGGTCCGGGTCTGTGTCTGTAGAGGGCCCTTTCTGGGGGAACAGCTGTACATGCGCCTGTCTTTATGCAGGTGTCTATGTGCATGTGCGGCCATATCTATGCCTACGTGGATCCGCGTGTGCACGTGTGTCTGTGTGTTCCATCGCTGCAGTTCTGTGTGGCCCTACCTCAGGGTGTGTGCATGTGTGTCTCTTGCTTCTTCCACTATGTCCCTGAGTGCGTTCAAGGGCCAGTGTATGCATGTGTGCATGAGTGCCTGTCACCCCACCTTGAGCTCAGCCGTCCTGGGGTGGCACCCTACACATACCTGGCCAAGTGTTTGGGGAGAAAAGGGCTGTTGGTTCCAGGATGTGCCAAGCATTTGTGCAGGGCTTGACCTGACCCTTGGTCTGCCCCCAGGAAGCTACGTGTGCCCAGCTGGGGCACAGCCCCAGCTGATGCCCCAGAGGGGCCACCCATCTCAAGAGGGGCTTTGGGCTCTGCCCTCCCTCCCCATGGCGCATGGGCCAAAGCCTGAGACTGAAGGACTATTGGACCTCAGCTTCCTGACAGAGGAGGAGCAGGAGGCCATTGCTGGTGTCCTCCAACGAGATGCCCGCCTGCGCCAGCTGGAGGAAGGGCGGGTCAGGTAAGGCAGGGCAGACCCTGGCCAGGGAGCATTGAGAGGCCTGAGTGCCCCCTACCCTGCTCCCTACTGACACCACTGCCGTCAGATGTCTGCGTGGTTCTTGGTTTCGCCCTTTAGTCTCCTCTGGCCTTGGTCAGCTCACAGCTCATCACTTCTCCAGGGGTGACTGCACCAGCTTTCTCGCCAGCCTCTCTGCCTCCAGGCTTGCCTCTTGGGCCCACCTCCTGCAGCTGATCCTCCCCAGATCTGTCCTTTTTTAATTTTAATTTTTATTTTTTTTGAGACAGAGTTTCATTTTTTCGCCCAGGCTGGAGTGAAGTGGCACAATCTTGGCTCACTGCAACCTCCACCCCTCCGGGTTCAAGCAATTCTCCTGCCACAGTCTCCCAAGTAGCTGGGATTATAGGTACATGCCACCACGCCCAGCTAATTTTTTGTATTTTCAGTAGAGATGAGGTTTCACCATGTTGGCCAGGCTGGTCTCAAACCCCTGACCTCAGATGATCCACCCGCCTCGGCCTCCCAAAGTGCTGGGATTACAGATGCGAGCCACCGTGCCTGGCCAGATCTGTCCTTAATGTCCCCGCTGAAACTTCTCCTGGCTCCCCAGTGTCAAGGACAAGCTCCTAGGCAAGGTCCTCTGGGCCTCCCTGGTCGATCCTTGCCAGCCCCCACCATCTCCTCTTCCACCATAACCCCCACCCAACACACAGACACAAAGTGACCCCTCCAGCCACTCAGGTGCTCCCCAGTCCCTGAACCCACACTTCACTACTATGCCTATGCTGGTACTGGAAGAGCACGGTGGTAGAAGAGCATGGGTGTTACAAGCAATGTTTGGGGACAGATACTTCCTAGCTTTGTAGCCTTGGCAACTCACCTGACCTCCTTGAGCTCCACGCTCCTTGTCTATAAAATGGGGCTAAGGAGTCCTACTTCACTGATTTAAGAGGAATTGGCCGGGGATAGTGGCGACTCCTGTAATCCCAGCACTTTGAGAGGCTGAGACGGGAGGATTGCTTGAGCCCAGGAATTCAAGACCAGCCTGGACAACACAGTGAGACCCTATTTCTACAAAATATTAAAAAATTAGCCTGGCGTGGTGGTATGTGCCTGTAGTCCCAGCTATTTAGGCAGCTGAGGTGAGAGGATTGCTTGAACCCAGGAGGTCAGGCTGCAATGAGCCATGATCATGCCACTGCACTCCAGCCAGGGCAACAGAGCAAGACCCTGTCTCAAAAAATAATAATAAAATAAAAAGTGTAATAACTATTATCCTTCTCTACCTGGAGAATTCCAATTTGTCTTTTAAGAAGAAATTCAAGACTGGGCACAGTGGTTTACAACATTTTGGGAGGCTGAGGCAGGTGGATCGCTTGAGTCCAGGAGTTAGAGACTAGCCTGGGCAACATTGAAAAGCCCCGTCTCTACAAAACAAAATACAAAAAATTAGCTGAGCAAGGTGGCACGCGCCTGTAGTCCCAGCTACTCGGGAGGCTGAAGTGGGAGGATCACTTGAGCCTGGGAGGTGAAGGTTGCAGTGAGCTGAGATTGCGCCATAGCACGCCAGCCTGGGCATAGAGGGAGACCCCATCTCAAAATAATTAAGTAAATAAATAAATAAAGGCAATTCAAATGTCACCTCCTCTGGGAAACCCTCCCGGATTCTCCCAGGCAGAGCTGGCTCTTCTTATTTCTATCACATCATCCGGTTCACTATAGTGTACTTGTCTCTTCTGGACTCGGTCTCCCCAGCAGCCCGAGCTCCTCCACAGCACAGATCAAGTCTGATTTGCTGTTGGGTCCCTGGCCCCTGGTCCCAAGCCTGGTACCATGTGGGTGGTGGAATGTTGCTTGAGTGAGTCATGACAGCCACACCCTCCCCCTTCCTCCAGCAAGCTCCGGGCCTCACTGGCAGACCCTGGGCAGCTGAAGATCCTGACAGGGGACTGGTTCCAGGAAGCACGCTCCCAGCGGCACCACAATGCCCACTTCGGCTCTGACCTTGTCCGAGCCTCTATGCGCAGGAAGAAGAACGCCAGGGGTGAGAGATCTTCGGGGCAGGGCAAGCCATGTGCCATCCAGGGCGCTGTCTGTATGTGGACGGGGCTCCAGTCCTGGCTGCCCTTGGTACTGTGTGTCTTTGAGTGAGCAATGCCCCTCTGTGGGCGGGTGGGTGGGCATCTCCCAGGGCCTCTCTCGAGTCACAGCCAGGCTTCCTGAGCATGGGGGCTCACAGAACTTCTCACCTGCGCCCAGGAGACCAGGCTCCAGGCAGCGACGGGGAGGCTGAGGTTGCTGTGAAAGAGAAGGAAGAGGGGCCAGAACCCAGGTGAGGAGGGGTCTCGGGAAGAGGGAGATGGTGCCCACCAGTAACCAGGTCCCTCCCTCTGAGAGTGTCCTCTCCCTACTCCTAGGCTCAACATTGATGAGACCCCTCAGGAGAGGCTCAGGGAGACTGAGGTAAGAGTGAATGAACCAGCAAGTCAGTACAGTGTCCCTGGAAGGGAGGCGGAATGTGGGGGGGGGGGGGGGGGGGGGAAAAGAGCCCCAGCCTGGGAATGGGGAGACCCTGGACATGTCCCTTCCCGTGTCTGCACCTCATCATCTCCTGGGTGGAACAGTGGTGAACAGTGGTATGGATCCAGCCTCTAAGGGAACTTCTGAATCTGGCTATTAAGGGGTGAAGTGGGGCCAGGGGCAGTGGCTCATGCCTGTAATCCCAGCATTTTGGGAGGCTGATGCAGGAGGATCGCTTGAGCTGAGGAGTTCAAGGCCAGCCTGGGCAACATAGCAAAATGCCCCCCATCTCTATAAAAAATAAAATTTAAAAAAAAAAAGGGCCACGTGCGGTGGCTCAAGCCTGTAATCCCTGCACTTTGGGAGGCCGAGACGGGCGGATCACGAGGTCAGGAGATCGAGACCATCCTGGCTAACACGGTGAAACCCCGTCTCTACTAAAAAATACAAAAAACTAGCCGGGCGAGGTGGCGGGCGCTTGTAGACCCAGCTACTTCGGAGGCTGAGGCAGGAGAATGGCGTAAACCTGGGAGGCAGAGCTTGCAGTGAGCTGAGATCCAGCCACTGCACTCCAGCCTGGGTGACAGAGCGAGATTCCGTCTCAAAAAAAGGCCGGGCACGGTGGCTCACGTCTGTAGGGGAGGCTGAGACGGGTGGATCACCTGAGGTCGGGAGCTCGAGACCAGCCTGACCAACATGGAGAAACCCCGTCTCTACTAAAAATACAAAATTAGCCGCGCATGGTGGTGCATAACCTGCAATCCCAGCTACTCAGGAGGCTGAAGCAGGAGAATCGCTTGAACCTGGGAGGTGGAGGTTGTGGTGAGCCAAGATCGCGCCATTGCACTTCAGGCTGAGCAACAAGAGTGAAACTCCCTCTCAATTAAAAAAAAAAAAAAAAAAAAAAAGGAGTGTGGAGGGACTGGGGCTGGCCTGGCCTGGCAGAGGTGCAGGACTCAGGTACCAATGCTCTCACCAATGGGAGCAGGGAGTCAGGCGGCACAAGCCCTGCGGGGTGGGCTGTGAAGCCCCGGTCCCACCGCTCCTGCAGCTTGCTGCCAGCCCTGCCCCGTGGGCTGCCCTAAACCTGAAACTGGGGTAGCTGGCTGGAGTCTGTGACCTCTGACCCCAATATGACCTTTGACCCCTTCTTCACCAGCCCCCGCACTGTGACCTCTATCCCTTCCTTCCTTCAGGGACCTGATTTCCCATCGCCTTCTGTCCCGCTAAAGGGTTCAGATCCTGAGGAGGCGTCCCAGGCCCAGGAAGGTGAGTGGGAGCGCCTGTTGGGGAGCACAGAGAGGTTTCAGGGGTCAGAGGCAGCTCTAAAGGGCCCCAACCACCTGCGTTCACCCTCCTCACCCCTACTCCCACCCTGCCTCGGAGGTGGGGACGATCCCAGGGCAGCACCGGGGCCTGAATCTGCAGCTCGCTGGAGTTGTAAACCAGTTCCTCCAAATTCGTTCAGGGGCGGGCAGGAGAGGGCTCGCTTAGCGTCTCATGCCCCACCCCAGACCCTGGCCAAGGAGACCTGCCGGTCTGTGCCGAGAAGGCGGATCCGGAGCTGGAGCCCGCGTCGAGGGGAGGGCAGGAGCCGCGGCCCCCGCAAGCCCAGGTAGGCGGGAGTGGCCCGCGGCTGCTCTCAAGATCCGGAGCGGATTCCGGGCGGGGAGCGCTCCTGCCCAGGGCTGCGAGCCGCCCGCGACCCAGGGCGCTCGGGGCAGGGGCGGGGAAAGAAGGGGCGCCCCGTCACTTGCCCCCTCTGCAGACCAAGGCCGCGTCCCAGATCCTGGAGAACGGGGAGGAGGCCCCGGGGCCGGACCCCTCACTCGACCGCATGCTCAGTAGCAGCTCCTCCGTGTCCAGCCTTAACTCCTCCACGGTGAGGCGGGAGGGAGGGGACCCGGGCGGCCGGGGAGGTGGACACGTTCCGACGCGCAGCCCCTGCCTGCCCCTCCCTCGCCGCGGGACCCAACGCTGCAGCCCCCTGGCCTACCACCCATAACTCCGGTCTGAAGCCTCCGCGCTGCCCCCGGCCCCGACGTGAGCCCTGCGAGCGGCCCTGACTCCCACCCAATCCCGTCCGCAGCTGAGCGGCAGCCAGATGAGCCTGTCCGGCGAGGCGGAGGCGGTGCAGGTCCGCGGCTCCGTGCACTTCGCGCTGCACTACGAGCCGGGTGCCTCCGAGCTGCGCGTGCACGTGATCCAGTGCCAGGGCCTGGCCGCCGCCCGACGCCGCCGCTCGGACCCGTGAGTGCCCGGTCGGCCAAGCGGGGCGCGGCTGTCACAGCCCACCATTCACAGGGTCTCGGCCGGCCTCCTCGTTCTCATCTTCAAAATGGGAACAACAGCGTTATTGGGAGGCGTGGGATTGAGACAATCCCTGTAAAGCGCTTAGCACGAGGCCTGGCATGTGTTCAGGGTGGTGGCTGGGGGGCCCCACAGGCAGGGGAGAAGACTCTGGGAGGGCCCCTCCTCACCTCGGGTTCTCACCTTCCCAGCTACGTCAAAAGCTACCTCCTCCCGGATAAGCAGAGCAAGCGCAAGACGGCAGTGAAGAAACGGAATCTGAATCCGGTTTTCAACGAGACTCTCCGGGTGAGGCTGGGACCACGGTGCGGTTCCCCGTTAATGAACAGGACGCCCCTTCCTGCGGGGCGAGGTGGCAAGGGCAGCCCGGAGGATCGGCGGGGGGCTATTAAGTCGTTCTCCAGTGTGTCAGCCTTGTGGTGGGCGTGGTGATAGTCCAGGCCCCCATTAATGCCCTTCGGGGCTCCCCAGAATTCCTTCAAGGTAGGAACGTGGTAGGACCCGCCCCAGCCAACTCGCGCAGCATCTACGCGGGCCACCAGCAGTGCTCCGCTAAAGCGCACCTCCTGTCCCCAGTACTCCGTCCCGCAGGCCGAGCTCCAGGGCCGCGTGCTGAGCCTGTCCGTGTGGCACCGCGAAAGCCTGGGTCGCAACATCTTTCTGGGTGAAGCTGAAGTGCCCTTGGACACGTGGGACTGGGGCTCTGAGCCCACCTGGCTCCCCCTGCAGCCCCGGGTGAGGCAGCCAGGCCGCGTGGGGAGACCTGCGACCCGGGTCTCCTGCATTTACCCCACCAGGCTCTCCCGCAGCCCCCTCAGACCCCTCCTTCGACAGAGCCTCCCCTCAACCTCTTAACCTCACGGCCCCAGGTGAAGCCGGCCTGCCACGGCCCCTTCCATGAGGGCACTGGGACCCCTAGGTTCCGCCCTGCAGGCCCCGCCGTTTCTGCTAACCGCACCCCATCCGGGTCTGCAGACCCCACCCTCCTGAGACCCCTTTCCATTAGCCCCTGCTCCACGACAAGCCCGCCTCTCGCAGGTTCCACTCTCTCCCGACGACCTTCTGAGCCGCGGGCTACTCGCCCTGTCCCTCAAGTACATCCCCGCCGGCTCCGAGGGTGAGTGATAGCCGGAGAGGCCAAGCTGGACACGCCCTGAAAAGCGGGAGACTCCTGTCCCTGGGTTTAGGGGTGGTGGACTCCATCCGTGTGCGGGCCTGAGCCGAGCCTCTCCGCAGGCGCTGGACTGCCCCCGAGCGGGGAGCTGCACTTCTGGGTGAAGGAGGCTCGGGACCTCCTGCCACTGCGGGCAGGATCCCTGGACACTTACGTACAATGGTGAGGAGTGCTGGCCCTCGGGGCTTCCCTTTCTTTTGACGGCAGTGGAGTGCCCAACCTCGACAAAGCCCTACTAATCAACCCTTGATCACCCAGCCATGGCTTTCACCACTGAGCAGGGGTGAAGGGGATGGTTTGAGCAAAGGCCTGGAGTCAGGAAAGTTGAGGACACCTTTGAGGAGCTGCATTTCAGTGTGACTGCCGCCTGTAGGACTTGTTGAAAAGCTGAAGCTGAGGGCTGCAGGGGTCCTTCCACAGAGAACCTGAGAGGCCAGGCTGTGGGGCTTGGCCTGGAACTTATAGTTCAGTGGTCTTCAAAGTAAGCTTCCAGGGGACTTCTAGGGGTGCCTCTAGATGCTGCCCCCACCCTTAGAGAGTGAAATGGCAGTGGGCAGATCCCTTCTGGGTGTCCACCCTGATGCAGCCAGAGGCGTTCTTTCTTTCAGGTATTGTACTTCTGAGCAACACTGTATTTTGCAGAGGGGGTTCCCAGGCTTTGAAAACCTTGGAAACAGGCCAGGCATGGTGGCTCACGCCTGTAATCCTAGCACTCTGAGAGGCTGAGGCAGGTGGATCACCTGAGGTTAGGATTTCTAGACCAGCCTGACCAACATGGTGACACCCCATCTCTACTAAAAGTACAAAAAATTAGCCAGGCATGGTGGCGGGCGCCTGTAATCCCAGCTACTTGAGAGACTGAGGCGAGAGAATCACTGGAACCTGGAAGGCTGCAGTAAGCCAAGACCATGCCACTGCACCCCAGCCTGGGCAAAACAGAGCAAGACTCTGTCTCAAAAAACAAGAAAGGAACAAAGAAAGAAAAACCTTGGAAACTGCTTGAGGAGGGGTGGTGGTGGAGCAACAGGGAGATAATGAAAGTCACTGAGCCAGCGAGAGTAGCAGAATTGCATTTCAGAGACATTGCTCTGCAGCCCTGTGAACAGGAGTTTTAACTTTTTCTTTAGTATTATTATTTTTTTTAAGACGCAGTCTCGCTCTGTTGCCTAGGCTGGAGTGCAGTGGCACGATCTCAGCTCACTGCAGCCTCAGTTTCCCAGGCTCAAACGATTCTCCTGCCTCAGCCTCCCGAGTAGCTGGGATTACAGGTGCATGCCACCATACCCAGCTAATTTTTGTGTTTTTAGTAGAGATGGGGTTTCACCATGTTGACCAGGCTGGTCTCAAACTTCTGACCTCAGGTGATCCACCCACCTCAGCCTCCCAAAGTGCTGGGACTGTAGGCGTGAGCAACCTCGCCCAGCCAGGAGTTGTAACTTTTAAAGCCAGGAGACCTGAGAGGAGGCTGCTGCAAAGGTCCCAGGGCAGTGAGGGTCTGAGGTCAGGCAGGCAGGAGCCAGGGGACATGGACATATGTGAGGGAGAATGAGTGGGACATGGTGACTGGATGACTCTAGGGAGTGTGAGGGATGGTCACCTGATGCCAGGCCACCTCCCGCACAGCTTCGTACTGCCTGATGACAGCCGGGCCAGCCGCCAGCGTACAAGGGTTGTGCGACGCAGCCTCAGACCTGTGTTCAACCACACCATGGTGTACGATGGCTTTGGGCCTGCCGACCTGCGCCAGGCTTGTGCCGAGCTCTCCCTCTGGGACCATGGAGCCCTGGCCAGCCGCCAGCTGGGGGGCACACGACTCAGCCTGGGCACCGGTAAGTGGTGTAGCTCCCTGAGACAGGCCCTGGGAGATGGGGGCTCAGCGTGTGGCCCTGGATACCTCTCTGTCCTTTCCTGAGCTTTGATATCTACTGAGAACTGAGGGTGGTAATGGGGGACAGTGCATAATCTGGGACCAGGCAGATTATGTGTTTGGGGGCCCCAAGGTGTCCAATGTGATCATGCCCTCAACCCCTGCCCACCCACATCCAGGCAGCAGCTATGGGCTGCAGGTGCCCTGGATGGATTCCACACCGGAGGAGAAGCGGCTGTGGCAGGCCCTCCTGGAGCAGCCGTGCGAGTGGGTGGATGGCCTTCTACCCCTCAGAACCAACCTGGCCCCTAGGATGTAGTCCGACCAAGCCTCTCTCTCTGGACCCCCATCTCAGGGCCTGCCCTTGGCGAAAGTCAATAAAGTCTGCTCTAAGGGCAATAAAAGGCTGGTGTCTGCTGGGGCAGGGAGGAAGAAAAGTGATTGCAGGAAAGAGCCAGGGAAGTAAGAGGGGCCAGATGAAGGAACTTTAGACTCCGCCACAAAGACTTCAGAGAAGCCAGGCACAGTGTTTCACACCTGTAATCCCAATGTTTTGGGAGGCTGAAGCAGAAGCATCACTTGAGCCCAAGAGTTCAAGACCAGTCTGAGCAACATAACAAGACCAAGCTCTACAAAATTTTAAAAATTAGCTGCAAGTGGTGGTGTCACATGCCTGTAGTCCCAGCTACTCAGGAGGCTGAGGCAGGCAGATTGCTTGTGCCCAGGAGTTTGAGGCTGCAGTGAGCTATGCTACAAAGCAAGATGTTATTTCTACAAAAAAAAGTTTAAAAATTAGCTGAGTGTGGTGGTGCACACCTGCGGTCCCAGCTACTCATGAGGCTGAGGAGGAAGGATCGCTTGAATCCAGAAGCTTGAGGCTGTAGTGAATATGACTATGCCACTGCACTCCAGCCTGGATGACAGAGTAAGACCTTGTCTCTAAAAAAAATTTTTTTTTTTTTTTTTTTTTTGAGATAAAGTCTTGCTCTGGAGTGCAATGGTGTGATCTTGGCTCACTGCAACCTCTGCCTCCTGGGTTCAAGCGATTCTCCTGTCTCAGCCTCCTGAGTAGCTGGGATTACAGGCACAAGCCACCACACCCAGCTAATTTTTGTATTTTTAGTAGAGACGGGGTTTCACCATGTTGGTCAGGCTGGTTTCGAACTCCTGATCTCGTGATCCACCCGCTTTGGCCTCCCAAAGTGCTGGGATTACAGGCGTGAGCCACCACACCCGGCCTGAAAAAAATTTTTTTTTAAAAGACCTAGGGGGCTCTTCCCAGGGTACCCCTCCCCCCATATACCTCCAAAATTGCCAGGACAAAGGTTCAAAAGTGTTCTGTTTAATACGTTTTGTCTGGTAGTGCTTGGGTGCCTGTGGTTGGTTTCTCTCACTGGAACCAGTCCTGGCCCCCACTCGCCTGGCTTCCTTCAGTCACCCCAGGTCCTGGGGCTGGTGTGTCAGAAGCTGCCTTTGTCCTCTCCATTCATCCATCCTTGGATCTGTCTGACCTCTGATGCCCTCATTCAGCCTCTCGGGGTCCAGGGGTGACTGGCGTGGATCCTGCTCGCTGTGCCAAGATGGCCCTCCAGATGCGGCATACCATCCCTCCCCTGGGGGTAATGGACTCTGTGTGGCTCAGCCGGAAGGTGGCCCTGGACTCTGTCTTGCACCCACTGTCTGCCCAGTGCCCCCTCTGTCCTTAGGGGACCCAGGTGCCCCTTTGGTTTCCAGGAAGGAACCTAGGCAGGCCTGCAGTTGGCCAGGATGAGGCCACATGCATGGTTCACCCTTGGGGGACCCAGGATGTACCTGATGCGGGTATAGATGAGGTCATCTCGAGTGGCATAGGTGAGCAGGGTGTGGAGGGTGAAGCTATGGTTCAACAGCTGGATGTGGACAAAGACCCGCAGACACAGGGAAATAAGAAATTACAGAAAGATGTGTCCAGAGACCCGGGTACTAGCTCTGCTCTGCTGCCAAAATACTGAGGCAGATCACACCCCCCTTCTGGGCCTCAGTTTTCTCATCCATACAATGGGAAGAGAATACTAAGTGTTCTTCCAGTATTGAGATTCTCTGCATCAGAGGGCACAGTGAGAAGAGCGGGCAGATGGACAGAGATGGAGGCTTTGGCTGGTGAGGTCAGGGATAGCCAAGCACTCCCCACCTCACCATTTGGATGGTGCCTGAATCCACATTCAGTTCCTGTAGCCATTGCACCAGGCCCTGGTCCGTTGAAAGAGCGGCTGTCAAGAAGCAGTCAGGTGATGAGCCCAAGAGTGCCTCCTGCTAGAAGCTGCCTCGAACCCACCAATAGTGTTCTCCAGCCAAGGCCCACTCACCTGGGGGCTCTGGGGCCGGGGCATAGGTCCGGACTTCCTCATTCAGCCGCTGTAGAGCCCGCTGCACCAGGGCCTGGTACTCCCGTTCCTTCCCCGCCAGGACTTCCCGCAGCCTGTGGGGCAGAGAAGAGTAGAATGGAATGGTGAGTGGGGAGTGGGTTGAAGCCCGGCAGAGGCTATGAGCGATTCCAAGGGGCTTTACCGATCAGTCTCTGCCCTCAAGAGGCTCAGCTGCACCATCAGAGGAGCGGGGCCCTGCTCAGGCTCCACCGGAAGCAGGCTCTGCTGGCCTGGGCTCTGCTGTGGCCTCTGCTGGGAGTCCCCTTCTTCACTCAGCTCCTCTGACCTCAGTGAGACCGCCTCCTTCTCCACCTCTGCAGCCAGGCGCCGTGAACTCAGGCAAGGCCACAACGCCTGTTTGGGACCCCCAGATCCTAGCAAGGGAGTGCGGGGGATAGGGTGCCCCCCAGGCAGTGCCGGTATGGGAGATATCCATTTAGTCACGCCCCCACCGGCGCCTGCCTGCCCCTGTCCCGCCTGGCCCCCACCGGCCCCATTCGATGTTCACCGCGCCCAGCAAGCACCACACCCTCGCTGGCAGGAGGCCCGTGGCACTCCCCTCCTACCCGGGCCCAGCACAGCCAGGGCTGCCCGCACAGCACGGCTGAGCAGTGAGTCCAGAACGAACATCCAGTGTGGACGGATCTGGCGCCTGCGGAGGATCTGCTTCACCTGCAGGGGGAGGGAGGGCGCCGCTGAGACAGCTGAGCCTCAACTAGAGGCAGGGCTTGAGTTGGAAAGGCCTAGAAAGTCTTCGGCGGGAGGCAAGTGGGATGGGCGGGCTTGAGGTCCAGAGAGGGGCTGGGAAGCTAGGACTGGGCAGACGGTTTTTTGCTGCAGGCCTGATCTTCAGGGAGGAGACAGGGAATCTTGGAACATCAAGTCCTGGCACCTCCCCAGGGACGGGGAGCTCACTACCTGTTGTTGGGCAGCTCTGACTACCAGAAGGCGCCCTCACCGCATCCGGGAAGGCAAAGAGCGGTCCGTGCAGAAGTGCAGGCCCAAGGCCCTGGGCCCTCAGCCGTCCTTGCAGAGCCCGCAGCTCCTGGGCCAGCTGCCGGCGGTTGGGAGTGTGGATGTGTGCCCCGAGGCAGCGCAGCAGCTCTTCCACATAGTTTCTGCCCAGACGGGACCCCTGAGAAGGAAGAGAGGGGTGGTCAGCGAGTGTTCCAGCCAAAGGAGACGCTGCCGCGGAGGTGGGGTGGTGGGGTGCGGGGACATCAACAGGTGTCCTGACCCTGCGCTACCACCAGGGGGCGCTAGGGTGGGCCGCCCACCTGCTCCTGCTCCTGCTCCTGCTCCTGCTCCTGGTGCAGATTCTCCGCCAGCGCTGGCAGCTCCTGCTCCAGCACCGCGGCCAGCATGGCCCGACGCTTGCTTTCCTGGTGCAGCAGGCTCAGCCCCGAACTCTCCTCCGGAGACGCAGGCTCCTCGGCCGCAGGCTCCTCGGGCACCCTGGGCACAAGGGCGAGCGGCTGATTGAAGACCGGCAGCAACCAGGCAGTCACCTCTGCTGCCGGGTTTGAATTCTGGCTCTCCTACTTTTATGCCTACCTCACAGGGATGAACATAGATAAACCCCGCACTGAGAGGACACAACAAGTCCAAGTTAGAGTTGCCAGAACAGGGCATGGGGAGGCACCAAATGCCACATTCACAAATGGTCAAGGTGCCCAGGTCCCCAAGGAGGGCTTTTGTAGGAGGGGAGAAAAAGGCAAAACCAGGCAAAGGGAACCCATCCCAGGAGCCTAGGTCTCACCGGAGCTGGCTGGTGCCCCCATAACTGAGGCAGCGCTTCGGGGGGCTGGGCGGGTGCTGAGACGGTGCCTGAGGGCGTGGGAATGTCTGAGACTGGGTGGTTGAGTCGGCTGAAGGAATGGGACTGGTGGAAGGGGCATCTGAGGGAGGAACAGAGCTGTCAGCTGGGCCCTCTTCCCCCCTCACAGCTCCACAACCCCTCTGCCCTCCAGTGTGTCCATCCCGCCACCTCCAAGCACCTGAGGGCCGTGGAACATGTTGGGGGGAGCTGGGGCTGCGGCTCCTTTTTCCAGGCTGCAGGAAGGGGTCCCCCAGCAGTGCCTGGGCGCTGGCTCGGAGGCGGGGGTCTGGCTCAAAAGTTCGAAGGAGAAAGGCTTGGGCCTCAGCCGACAGAGAGCTGGGTATTGGCGGATGGACCTTGTACATACCCACCTGTTGGAGGAGGGTGAACAAGGGTGACATTCAGAGGTGTCCAAGGCCCAGGCTGGCCCTATGCCACTTCCATGTGCCAGGCCCAACGGGGTCTTACCTGAAACATGGCAGCCTGTGGGCTCCCTAGCTCATGGAAGGGGGGGTGACCCGTGGCCATCTCAATGACAGTGCAGCCCAGTGACCAGATGTCAGCTGCTTTCCCATACCCACGTGGGCCCTGGTCAATGATTTCTGGGGCCATATACTGCAGAGTTCCTAGGACAGAAGCGGGAACACTGATGCCCATCTAGGCTTTAACATGGGGTTGGAGAGGGGAGGGGAATGCCATCATCCTCAGGCCGACTGCACCCATACTGAAACTATCATCCAAAACGTACCTCAACACCTATCCTGGTCATCAAACATCTATCCTGAGTTCCATCACCACCCGAGGCTCCATCACCTGCCAAGGCTTCCATCATTCACCCTGGGCTCCACCACATTCGCAGACTCCATCACCCACAGTAGCGCTCCAGCACACATCCTGGATTGCATCGTCCCCCTGAACTCCATCACCAGCTTTTTCCTCCAACTCCCACCTTGGCCTACATCAACACTCCTCAAGTGCTAAAGTCAGTTTCATCACTTATCCAAGCTCCAGTTCTAGATGCCATCACCTCAGCTCTGGCCCAATCACTCACCCTGGGTTTCATTCCCCATTAGGACTCTAACTCCATGCCTAGGAGAAACCCCATTCCCTGGAAAGTTCCAAGACATCTTCTGTCCCAGGTCAGCATCCCCACTCAGCACCCCCACACCTTGTTA